TTCGCCCTCTTACAATTTTCTAATCTGTATATTTGTCTCTTTCTTTCTTTTCTCTGTTCAAATTAAACACTGAAAGACTATAAATAATTCTAATAGTCTCACACAAACAATAAAGCACATATTTTTTATTTAATTTCATGCTGTCAAATCAATATTAAAACTAAAATCAACACGTTGAACCCTCTCCCTCATGTGATTTTAATGCTCGTTCAGACTAATGGCAGAATTGTAAGATTCAGTCTGAGGAAGAGGTGATGCTACATTGATAGTTGTGTGGAATCCATCACATCCTTTAAATGTGGCAGTGGGCTGCTGCCTGGCTGCTGCCTCACACTGAGCCTTGATATCACCAGCACAGACAGTAATGAGCCTGCTCGTGCTCCGTAGCTCGTGATAAATGACGCGGGGCCGTAACGACTCTGCTCCCAGGCATGTGACTGACGAGTGCAGGACTCGGCCCAATGATGCTCTGAACACCAAAACACGAAACTAAAGAGTGTTCTGATGCAAATGATACTGATTTCAACCCCCCAATCAGTACATGGTGTTATTTGTGCCCTGTCATTCATCTTTCCATTTAATTGAACATTTTCCCTCTGTAAGCAATTTAAGCTTTGATTTAAAGTTTGACAAAACCATTTGATATGTCCTTGAGTAAAATCCTGCTGCTCTGTAGCTCAGTCACCTCTTTTTATTAGAGATGATCCGCTCTAATAAAAAGTGTCTGATGATGTGATTCCTGTGTAATTTGTGCTTGTTTTGTTTGTTAATCACAGGTTAGGTTTCAGTGTCTGGTGATCCAATGACCACCCACTGAAACCGCTCTCTTTATGTCATGTCATCGAGATTCAGAGACTAAAAGCTCGTGGTTTTGCATCTGAGCCTGTGTTCCTGACCTCAATGTGGAAGAAGGAGTGAGTCTCTTAAGATCGGGCACGAATATGAGCATCAAACCATGACAACGAATAATGGAGAAAAATCATTCCCAGTGTCTGTGAGGGTTGGACGGTGTGGACGGTGATTCATAGGCAGTAAATGTAGCATCAGCCGGGACTCTGAGTGGGGGGGACTATAGAAATGTACAGAGAAGTGGTGGAGGAGAAACTTTGAGGCAATCTGGTTTCCCAAAGAAGAGGCGACAAATCCAGCACTGATGCTCAATGAGTGACGCTCAGAATGACTACTCTGAGTATTTATCATCAGGGGGGTCCAATATTTTTGGCGTGTGTGAAAGCAACTAGAAAGACATCATGTTTTTTACTGCACAAATACAATACTAACAAAGTGACACAAATGCATCACTTCCATGTTCAACACTGTCACACAGTCACTAGTCACAAAGAGGAGATTTTTATATTATATATTTATTTTTTGCAAAATGTACGTACAAAAACATATATGTAAACCTGCAGTTAAATTTAAATAGAAAAACAGGTCGAGCACCAAATCATTGTAAATAAAAATGTATAATCTCAGTAAAGGTTTTTGTGTTATGTTACTTTGCTGTAATTAACATACAACAATAGATCTGTGTAACACACTGCTAACAATCAAATTATCACTAATACACTGGAACCGAGTGATTGTGTGTCCAAATTTATGAGATTTCTTTCTAATAAGGACACCCTTTATTGTTATTAATGTGTAATGTATTAAGTTGTAACTTAATACATCAGCCGAACAGCCAAATACTCAACGATTCATAAACAAATGCATTTTCACATCTACTATAAGATCTGTTGTGATTTATTGGTGATTATAACTGGTACCACTTTAGAATAAAGTACACTTAAAGTATTTTAACTGTTAATAAATCATTCAGTATTTCTTTATAGATCTGTTTAATTTGAATCCCGTGAGAACTGGCTATGGAGCGAGGGAGTATGAGCGTGTACAGCTGCATTCATGACGATGAAAAATCCAAACAATAATCAAAAAGCTGTCAATATGAATAATGAGTGTATACAATCTGATTTACCATGAGTCACTTCTAACATGGCCTTTCAATTTACAATGCGAAAAAACAAAAAAGGGGAAAAAAAGCATGCTGTGCGTCTCACGCTCACATGTGGGAGCTCTGAACAGTCCAGTGGTGTTGTGTTGTATAATTACTCTGCCACTAATTAGCAGTTGGGCAGCAGATGCATTCAGCCCACAGATGATGGGAAAGATCCTGCTGCACCTACACGCTGTGGGCAACCCACACACACACTGAGACAGAGAGAGAGAGAGAGGGGGAGAGAGGGAGGGAGTAATCTTTGTGTGCGTGAGCTCATTTTCGTTACCTCTTAGGAATCTTTTTTAGCATCAACACTCACCCTGTCAGGACCACTGGACCTCATAGGGACTAAAGCCTGGTCCTAATGAGGCATAACTTCATTTCTGAGGTGCTGGTGAAGGTCATGGAGACATGATGACATGATGACTGTCTAAACAATCACATCATAGGGACTTGTCTTCCTTATGGGGACTTAAAGTCCTCCATAACATTAATCATTACATCTCTGGTGAAGACATGTTATAAGGTTAGGTTTAGGTTGAGGTTTAGGTTTAGATTTAG